CAATAATGGATAGATAGGTTTACATAAATATCTATTCATTTAATTAAAGTACAATATCCACGATTATTTGAACTATAATCTTAGATAATTGATCAAAGAATATATTGCTTTGTAACACTTAATATATACTTATTGTATTAATTKAAATCATGAAAATAATTTACAGTACCAATTGAAGTATTATTAATTTTAAACTAGGTACACAAAATCATTGACAAGTGACAACTTACCGTTTTGGCTGACAAGAGAAGCTGCGTTAATTATGTAGACTGGACTCTTCTGATACCATTGTAACGGACCATATTTAGAAGTTGAGAAACACTTAGGAGTCAAGAATATGATGAACAGTGCACCAAACATCATGGCAAACCAAGAAAGCCAAAATGTTATAAACAACAACCACCTGAGTCGCACCCAGAACGGACTGTTAGCATACTTCATGAGTTCTTCTTTACCCATGCCTGCGTATGCTTTCTCTGCATGATCAGACAATTCCATCTTGTTTAGCTCATCATACTTGTCGCTCGTACTATCCATCTTCTTTTTTCCCTCCTCCATAAGTTTTTCCACAGCTCCATCTTCTTTTTCCAACGACATTACGACTTTCTGGAAGGAAAATGTTAAGCTTAAACACGTAATTTGATGAAACGTTCTACAACAATTTTCTTGCAACAAACGTACATCGAATTGTGCTTACGCTGTATTCGATAGTTGAGATGAATGACCGAAGAACAAGCGATCACTCACAACAAAAGAAGAACCTACAAAGATAGGACGTCAAGGAAGTAGCAACTTCAACTGAGATCAGTAACTGTCAACTGAGCAAGTGAGCTGTAAGTGAATAACGTAATTCCTAAATAATAGGTGTGAAATAACAATAATTATATTGATCGCAATTTGCAAACGCAAAGATTGTTTTTATCACAGCGTGTGGTCACGAACGATTAGATAAGAAATGATAACAGGGCCGAATGGTGAGAGGCAAACAACCRCGGACGGACACTGATTGACATCAGTCAGCCAAGTGAATATTTATAAAGATCAACAAATAACAATGTATGATAAAATTAATAACAAATTAACACAAGAGGCAATAGATAGCCTAAAAATGTCAACCAAGGAAATTACAGTGTGACAGGACCATCAAATTTATTATAAAAATTAATAATAATCTTCCATAAATATCCTTTTTTTTTATTGAATAGGTACCTAGCTAATCATCTTATTTATGATTTAAAATTATATACGTTAGAAATTATATCTGTTGAGTTGAAAACAAAACCCATCCTATTTGAATCTGCTAATCTAGTATCGATGAAAATTCAAATATTTTGGACTTGGACAATAGAAATATTTATTTGTTACCTTGCCAATAAAGTAAAAAAAGTATACTAGGTATTAATTATTATAGACAATAGTGGGTATAGTTCAATTTGTCAATGTCTCAAAATGATACATATATRATATAGGGACATAGGCGCCCGCAGGGGAGGGCAAGCTGGGGAATTTGCCCCCCTGGCTTTTTCAAAATATTTKTTTTAATTGAAATGTTTTAAGATAAATTATRTATACTATACAACAAATTTAAAGTATAAAATAAGTTTTAATWTAATAAAATATAATATATTGTATACGAGTATAATAAAAAAGGTTATTATTTTAAAACACCTAGTAAAATTATAAAATTGATCCTCAAATCCTAACATTGCCCCCCCCCCCTAGAAAAATTTCTGCGGGCGCCTATGTATAGGGAACTGTAATTTTCAGGAAAATAATTATTTGGACCAGATTTTTTGTAGGTAAAGTTATTTAAAAATAATGGTATAATAAAGGAATAATAGGTATTTTTCTAAACAGAACTATATAAGGACAATATAAAACAGTAAAATAATAACGCGGAACYGTATTTTTCAGGAACGATATAAATTAGGAAAATATCGCTCAAGACTATATAAACCGGGACATTTTTGATAATCTATAGGTAATCTATATTATAGTAAATACTATATTAGTAAAATACACGTGGTTCCGTATCAATSTGAAATAGTATTAATCGAGAACATAAAGCATTGGACAGGACAATTATTTACAGGGAAATATTCACGAGGTAAAGTATTAAAAATTATATTATTTTATAAGAAAAAAACGGAATAAAATTTATATTGTCGCATAACTCTATAATATATTCCGCGTTTATCTTATAAAATAATATTTCTTTTTTAATACTTTACCTCGTGAATATTTGCATTGCTTAAAAAACRCTGTGCCTAATAAATAATATAGTATTATAAAGGAGTCATTAAGTCAATATATTAAATGCAACTACAAGACCAAAACATCTCACAATAAAATATGTAATGTGGTCATGTGGATGTATCCAATTTAAAGTAGTTTAAGCCGTTTAAGGTAATAAATAATAATACTCAGTATGTTAAACTGTTGATTGTATAAAAAATATAGTAAATATATCTACTTAATACACGGTATTAATACGAACTTACCTAATCAAAAACAATTCAGTTAGGTACATAGAACAATAATAAAATTAACTCCAAAACTTTTGGGMATTTTTAAGAAACTACAAAAGGTATATGGAGTAGTGAAAAGTTTAGCGTCATTCCAAAMTTATTTATTATGACCATCCTAAATTTAAATGTTTATGAAATTGGATATTCAAATGTAAAATAACGATTTCTCATTGAGTAATTCCTAGTATTTTTTTTTGTGAATTGTAATTAAAAAATATCTTGAAACGTTTATGTATTACTAAATAAACAATAAAAGCCTTTTCAAAATATTTAAATTTAAATTCACTTTTAGCTGTTGCCTATTACATTTTTTTTTTTTTTTTTTATAAATGTTGATAATAATGTTAATGATCTATTAAAACATTTGGAAATTGAATATAAAGATACTCATAGAATGTGTTGAGATGATTTTAAAATATTGAACATGTATATGATATGCCCAATTTTAAGCATTTTGAGGTTCAAATTTTGATTATGTTAAAAA